TAAGCGGCGTCTCCGGGACTGCGGGGCTGCAGAGGACGATGCTCTGGGCTCCCGCGCCTGCATCCCCGGGGCCGGCCCAGGGCCCGCGGTCGCCTAGCACCGGCTGCGTGCTGAGTGCCGCTCGGGCTGGATGGCGCCGCGCAGCATCACCCCCGCCTCCTCTCCTCCCCCTCCTCCTCCTCTCTTCCCCCTCCTCCACCGCCTCTTTTCCTGGTCCCCCATTCCTTCTCAGCATCGCCCACTTTGACCCACCTCCCTGTCCCATGAATTGTCACGCGCCCTGGACCTCCTTCCCACTTTTCCAGGTAGCCTTCGCCTCACCATCTCATCCCCTGGCTACTGGCATCACCACCTGCGTTAAGGCATCTTTCTGACCTCTCTCCTGTGGTACTCTCTCCAGGGCCTGTGACACTGGGAGACTGTGAGGAGGGAAGGTCCCTGGAGAGGAGGGAGGGCTTGTCTCAGGACAGCTCTCTGGCTCCCTGGTAGAGAGGATCGCAAGCATCACACAGCCACCCCTATCCTTTCGTGCTGTGCTGTGCCTTGCAGGGGGGCTTCCGGGGTCTCCTGACTTCACCTCAGGGTGACCCGGGCTCTTTAGCATCAGAAAGCCTCCTGAGCTGGTCATCTGATCCGGGTTAACTGGGTCAAATGGAGACTGTCTCCCCAGGCATTCCTCGTGTTAGAAGTTATCTTTGATTGGACTTGAATTTGGCCTTTATTCCCCGGAGCCTGCTGATCTTTGAGATCTGAGTGGCAGGGCTGCATGACGCCCATCCCTGTTGGGAACGGATGTGTGAAGGGAGCCAGAAGTGTGCATCCATCCAACCTCCTGCTGCCACTCACTCTACCAAATCCAGAGTTGCTTTCTGGTCGGCTCTGGGCTTGCACATCCCTCCCTGGTGGTAGGGGCAGCTAGCCTCTAGGGACTCTAAGTGACTGACGGGTCTCAGTTCACTCTCTTAGTGCTGGATTTGATCCCGTGAAGAGGTGAGGGTCTCTCCTTGCTGAATCTTTTACAGTTCTGCCTTGGGGAGGACTCCTGTCTGCTCTGTCCAGAATGAGCCACCTACCCGGTTTTTTGTATCTGCATTTTGACATGCGCAGGTTGGTGGGAACTCAGTTTCTCAGGTCAGGGACGGCCACCAACTCATTCTCAGGGCATCCGAGGAAACCTGGCCGCTGGAGGCAGTTTTAGAGTTGCGGTTAGGGAAGAAATGTGCTTCCTCACCCGGGTGAGAGTCTCACACAGAATTTCGGGAACCTTGGACTGTCTTGAAGAGCAAGTGCAGAGAAGACGCCTTTCTAGGGCTTTTTCCCTTTTCCTAAAGTGGAAACAGCGGAGCGATGATGGTATCACCCATGGAGGAGGGGCGGCGGGTGAAGGAGCTTAACACCCGGGCTCTGCATCTTGAGAAGAAACTGGCTTCTCATCTCTCCATTCCTGTTCTTTTCCTAGAAGCATGGGTCCCCATGAATATTCAGTATGTGTGTTTTTTACTTCCTAAACATTATAGTCAAGTGATTCTTTATTCAGCCGACACCCGGGTGGTGCCAGTAGGTGGTGAATGAGCACCCAAGGTTTTCCTTAAGTCCCAGGAGTGGACATCACCCCGAGTCGGGGTATTTCGGCCTTTGCCTTCTGCTTGGGGTGGGAGTCTTGGGACACCCCCCACGTTTGGTTTGCCGGTCCATCGCACATCGAGGGCTTACCGTGACATTATCCCCGGCCAGCGGGTGGATGAAAACACTGAGGCTGAGAGCGAGGATGCCCTGCACACGGCTGGTGGCCACACCTGGTCCAGGCCATGTCTAGCTTGGGTGTGTAACTCTGCGCTGTGCTGCAGACCTCCCAGGCCTAGCTGGTCCAGGCAGGGAGCACTGAAATGCTCCCAGATGAGTTCCTCCAGGTGATGGAGGGCTTTCAGGAGGGCGCAGGCCTGGCTGTGGGGTGGACAGAGCGTTTCAGAGAAACAGGAGAACACTGCGGCTTCTAGAGACTTGGGGCTTGCATCGTGGTTTACAGTGATGTGGGCTCCACCTCCCCAAAGCAGTATCACTGCTGTCAGAGGCGGGGAAACTGAGTCAGGGACTTGGAAGGCTCCTGCTTTCCCTTTTGTAATCCTGTGGGTGAGGTCAGCTCCCAGCTGAGCGGCACAAAGAGGTGTATCTGCCACAGAGGCCGCTCCAGGGCACCCACTTCCTTCCCCGGCGTGGTATGAGCCTGATTTACAGCGTGCTTGAGAGGAGAAAGGAGAATGTGCCGCTGTGGCAGCCCTCCGCTGTCCTGATGGTGCATCTCCATTCTCCGGAGATGGTTGCTGTTTAGGACTTTTCTAGTCATAACTTTCATGGTGCTGTTTTCAGGTTTGGACATCATGAAAACCCTTTCCCAGCGACTGGCTGCATTTGCTAATGGGGTATAAGACAGCGCCCTGCACCCAACTTCAGTGACTCTTACTGGTGGGCCCCATCGGCAGGCCTCACTGTTCATCGATGGCGCCCTTGGCAGGAACTGGGGGACAGTGGCAGCCACGCCTTCTCCTGCTCCAGCCACTCCTTCCACCATCTGCTAACCTGCGTGCCGTGGGTGCCCCGGCGGCCCCCAGAGGACTGATCATCTGAGCCAGCTTCACTCCGCGTACTGAGTCCCTCAAGATGTGGCTGGAGTGGCTGGTGGCCTGGAGCTGGTCTCTGGATGGCCTGAGGGACTGTATTGCCACCGGCATCCAGTCCGTGCGGGACTGTGACGGCACAGCTGTCGTCACCGTGGCCTGCCTGCTGGTCATGTTTGTGTGGTACTGTTACCATGTGGGCCGAGAGCAGCCTCGACCCCACGTGTCCGTCAACTCCCTCCTGCAGGGGGTGGACGCCAACGGGCTACAGAACGGGTCCATGTACTGCCAGTCACCCGAGTGCGTCCGCTGCACGCACCACGATGGCCTCAACCAGAAGCTTTACCACAACCTGCAGGAGTACGCCAAACGGTACTCGTGGTCCGGCATGGGCCGCATCCACAAGGGCATCCGGGAGCAGGGCCGTTACCTCAGCAGCCAGCCCTCCATCCAGAAGCCCGAGGTCTTCTTCCTGCCTGATCTCCCCACTACGCCCTACTTCTCCCGGGACGCCCAGAAGCACGACGTGGAGCTGTTGGAGCGGAACTTCCAGGCCATCCTCTGCGAGTTCGAGACACTCTACAAGGCCTTCTCTAACTGCAGCCTCCCGCAGGGGTGGAAAGTGAACAGCACCCCCAGTGGGGAGTGGTTCACCTTTGACTTTGTCAACCAGGGCGTTTGCGTCCCCAGGAACTGCAGGAAGTGCCCACGGACGTACCGCTTGCTCGGCAGCCTCCGGACCTGTATTGGAAACAATGTTTTCGGGAACGCCTGCATCTCGGTGCTGAGTCCTGGGACTGTGATCACGGAGCACTACGGACCCACCAACATCCGCATCCGGTGCCACCTAGGTACGTGGAGGGGGCGGAGCCCCAGCATGCACATTCAACATAGCAAGGAGCCTTTGCCTCCTGAGTGCTTTGGTCAAATACAGATGCATTCAGCTGGATGCAGTCAGTGGCACACACCTGCAGTCCAAACACTCAGGAGGCTGAGGCAGAAGGGTCGAGGCTTGAAGGGCTAGCGTGTACTTGTTGTATGCATGTGCGTGCTGAGGCCAGGGGTCAGCGTTGAGTCTTGTTTCTCAGGAGCTGTCTACCTTGTTTTTACAGGATCTCTCTGTGACCTAGGGCTCCCTGGCTAGGTTAGGCTATCACCAGCCATGTGACTATAAGAGTGTGCCATAGGAGCCGGGCAGTGGTGGTGCACACCTTTAATCCCAGCACTTGGGAGACAGAGCCAGGTGGATCTCTGTGAGTTCGAGGCCAGCCTGGTCTACATAGTGAGTTCTAGGACAGGCTCCAAAGCTACACAGAGAAACCCTGTCTTGAAAAACCAAAAAAGAAAAAAAAAAGAAAGAAAGAAAGAAAGAAAGAAAGAACAGGCTCCAAAGCTACACAGAGAAACCCTGTCTTGAAAAACCAAAAAAGAAAAAAAAAAAAGAAAGAAAGAAAGAAAGAGTGTGCCACAGTGCCTGGCTGGTTCACATGCTGAAGCTCCAGCTCGGGTCCTCCCCAGGTTGTACCATAAACGGTTTACAAAACTTGAGCCATATCTCCGGCCTTAGAAAACCTTTCCTTGGTGGCGGTCCATAAACCACTGTGATGGCAGAATGTCAACCTCATTTCATCTTATCCTCTCAAACTTTCATTCGTTCTCTCATGGTGCTGGAGATGGAACCCAGGCACTCAGGCATGCTCTCTGCCGCCAGGCCACACACCCACTTAAATCTAGTATCTGGCGGGAAAAGCTCCTCCGCCTGGGAGAAGAACTCTTGGAGGAGAGGGTGGTAACGGTGTCCTCCATCTTTCCTGTCCATTACGTGAGCTGCTGGCCACGCGTGGCTGCCGAGGGCGTGGGCTGTGGCCAGTGGAACAGCTGAGCAAAAGTTTGCATGTAAGTTCGTGTGTCCAGGTATGGCTGGCTGGTGGCTGCTGTGCTCTGTGGTGGCTGACACAGAACCCACGGGAGTTCTGACGATGACAGAGGTCCCCGATGATGCCTGGGAGACCGTGAGAGACGCTTAAACATTCTGAGTCACCACGGATAAATGGTGCCCAGTGTTCTGGTCACTTTATTCAAGGCCTAGGAATCTTGTGCGCTGTGTGTGTGGCGTGCAAACTGAAGCTCAAGCTAAGCTGCCTTTTTATCTCGCCCAACTAAGAGTTAGCGGTGCTTCCTTGGGCCAGCTGCTTGCCTCCTCTGAGCTTCCATAGAAAGCGAGGGAGCAGCTCTCCTTTGGGGATCTGGTCAGATGAGGTATGTCTCAGGGTGGTCACCGGAGCGAGGTGCAAAGTGAGGTGCATGGAGGCAGGCTTCGAAACTACGTGGTACCTTCTTCCTGGTGAATGGTGACAGACAGGCCTTGCTGGTGAACATGCCAGGGCAGAGCCTGGGGAGCTGGGTGGCAGCTGTAAGAGGCGGTGCTGGCTGCCTGCAGGGGATGGGGGAAGCGGGGGATGCGTGCCCTGAGCAGGCTGGTGGTGGGATTCGCTAATGTGCTTTGCAGGGAGCCTGTGCCAGTTGCTAGGCCCCCCCACCTCCTCTCGCCCCAGCAACTCTGTTCCTTCCCTCTGCTCTCTGGGTGAGGATTCTGGGTAAGGTACGGTTTGGACTGAAGATGTCTGTGCTGAGAAGCAGAAGTACCATCATCAGAGGGCTGCTGTGGATAGGGTTTTGACTGGCGGGTGGGGACAGGGTGGAGCTTGAAGCTGGCGTCTGGATCCGTGAGCAGCTGTGGGGCTGGACAGAGTCCAGGTCTGTAGACCTCACGGCCTCTCTGCAAAGTGGACACACAGCACCAGTGCTGTGGAGAAGTTTGGGGACACAACTCACTAAGTGGCCATTTGGCATAGTGCCTGGCAGTCTCTCCGGAGCGTGGTAGTGGCTCTCCTGACTACGCAATGCTCTGTAAGGCACGGCCTCTTCCCCAGGGAACAGTGACCCTCGGGGCACCGGAGGCCAGCAGTTCTGGACTCAGGTCCTCCCTCATCCCCCCATTGTCAGGCCCTGGAAGCCAAGCTTCCTCTTTGAACCCCGGGGGGAGGAGGGGTGCCCAACTCTTGCCTTCGGGGCTATTGGAGGAAAAGTAAGTAGCTTGTGCATTTGAAGTTCCTGGCAGGCAGAGTCCATCACTATTACCAGGTAGGCTTTGATCCACTCAGTGGCTTTGGTTAATAAACCTCTGGCAAGAACCCACAAAGGGAGCTAGGCTGCAAACAGAGCGGGAAGGCTGACCAGGGCAGACCAGGTGGGAGCGGGTGGCTGACTTGGGGCGAGGCTGGGGCCAGGCCGGGGGCTCCGGAACTGTCGGCCATGGGAGTGAGGTTTTCCTTTTGAACGGTCTTGCTTTGTGGGAGCTTTTGATTTACCCGGTACTGGGATGAACCCGAGTCCCAGGCATGCTGGGCCGGTGCTGAACCCCTGAAGTGCGCCCTCAGCTACCATGCCGTTCCGAAGCTTTGGAATGCAGAGTAGGGAAGGCCTCAGAGATTGATGTCGCGGGGATCCAGGGGTGTGGAGTAGGCAGGCTGGGAGGAGGACACTAGGTTTGGATTCCTGTGATCTGTGATACGGGCCAGGTAGGGTGTGTGTGTGTGTGTGTGTGTGTGTGTGTGTGTGTGTGTGTGTGTGTGTGTGTGTGTGTGTGTGTGTGTGTGTGTGTGTGTGTGTGTGTGATGTGCACACCTTGTGGCTGTGATGATTCCCTTCTCGGGTCAGCTAGTGACTTGTAGGAGGTAATGGGTCCTTGATATCCCTGGGTACAGCAGGAAAACGTCTTCTGAAGAGGCCCTGCTGTCGGCTGCCTGTGCATGGATGAAGCTGGTTTGAACTCAGCATCCCTGGGTTCCCATGGGTCCCAGGACTAGACATCAGGAATTCTTGAGGTCATGAGACCCTCAAGCTATTGACGTAAGCAAGAGTCCAGGACCCAGACCAGATGAAACTGGCAGAGGGGGAGCTTTGCTGAGGACCTAGGTGGTAGTCCCTAGACAGACTGGCCTATCTATTGGGCTGTGAGGACAAGTTCCACATTGCTGGATGGCTTTCAGATAACAGAAAAGGGCTGGGGATGTGAGGGATGTGGCTCAGTGGGAGTGGGTGGAGGCGCTTGCCTTGCAAGCCTGATGACCTGACTTTGATCCCTGGACCCCACAGTGGAAAGTCAGAACCGCTTCTGGAAGTTGTCCCTCCAATGCCCACACAATAATCATACAAAGTTTTAAATTAAACAAAAAACAAAAACAGCCGGGTGGTGGTGCCTGTTCTCCGGAGACTGAGGTAGGAGAGAATTAAGAGTTCAAGGCCAGCCTGGGTAACACAGTGAGACCCTGTCTGAACAACAAGACAATAGCCCGGAGGTGTACTCATGGTTCTGAGGCTGGAGGCCCAAGGTGGAGAGCTCTGAGAGGCCAAGGCTGCTCTGGTTGCCTGGTGGGTGTCTTGGTCAGAGTTCCCGTTTGCTGTGATGAAACACCCAAGACCAAAAACAAACCGGGGAGGAAAGGGTTAATCTGGCTTACACTTCCAGATCACACAGTCCATCACTGGAGGAAGTCAGGACAAGAACTCAAGCAGGGCAGGAACCCAGAGGCAGGAGCTGATGCAGAGGCCATGGAGGGGTGCTGCTTACTGGCTTGCTCCCTATGGCTTGTTCAGACTGCTTTCTTATAGAACCCAGGACCACCAGCCCAGGGATGGCCCCACCCACCGTGGGCTGGGCCCTCTCCCATCAGTCACTAATTAAGAAAATGTCTTACAGTCAGATCTTATGGAGGCGTCTTGTCAGCTGAGGCTCCCTCCTTTCAGATGACTCTAATTTGGGTGCCAAGTGGACGTAAGACTCGCCAGGGCAGTGGGCGTGGCCCCCTCTTGCCGTGACCTCGTGTGGTAGAAAGGTCCGTTTTACAGTACAGATCCCATTCGTGACCTAGTCCCCAAAGATCCCTAACACCATCCTCTCAGGGTGGTCTCGGTCTCTGAATCATGGGTCACAGACAGCCCACAGTGTGGATTTCAGGGGAGAGTGTGGAAGGCCTGAGGCTTTCGAGCGCTTCCCCGGAGCAGCCCAGCTCCACCTTCGAGCAGCCTTGAACCCTGGCCACCTTCACTCTCAATCCTGTGTTTCTCCCCAAGGTCTGAAGACTCCCAATGGCTGTGAGCTGGTGGTGGGGGGCGAGCCCCAGTGCTGGGCGGAAGGCCGCTGCCTGCTCTTCGACGACTCCTTCCTGCACACTGCATTCCATGAAGGTGGGCGCCGCCTCTCCCAGGGCTTGCCCACTGCTTGCATTATGGTTGTCAGACTTCTTTAAAGAGAAGTTTTCCGGGTGCCCGACAAAACTGACCAGGAATTCCTAAGCCCTCCCCCCCGACCCCCCCCCCCACCTCCCACCCCCGCTTCACCCTCCCACGTAATCTCCCCACATGGGTAAGCTGGTGTCACAGGTGACGAGCCAACTCCAACCAGCTGTGGTGACCTAGAGGCTATGGTCACCTCCAGGCTCACTCTCAGTGTCAGACACTGTGAGTTAGGACAGTAGAATGCAGACTGTGTCCACAGTGACGGTCCTACTGTCCTGCCCGGTCCCCCCCCCCTTTTATCCTTTGTCATCCACCTTCCTCGAAGGCATGGGTGAGACCTCACGAACATTCTCCATCTGGGAAAGGGAGGTGTTCCCGTGCCCACTGGTCCTACAGCTCAGGCCACACTTCACAGTGTGCCAGGGCCAACCTGACCCCCCCCTTACGCTCCTCCTCCCCAGGTTCCGCTGAGGACGGCCCACGGGTGGTCTTCATGGTGGATCTCTGGCACCCCAACGTGGCAGCTGCCGAGCGGCAGGCCCTGGATTTCATCTTTGCTCCAGGACGATGAGTGAGGACGTTGCCTGGGCTGGAGCCGGGCTGTGTGGGACCCAGGCGGACTGTGAGGACAGCTCAGTCCCTGCCCTGACCCACACTGGACGTTTGAGTGGCTTCCTGCCACGGTGGGAGCCCTCTTTCCTTTGGTTACTGGGATCTTCCTCGGTTTCTTTCCCCTTCCAGTTATTTGCTGGGACTTCTGGCCCACTAGTGTGTCCCTTTGGCTGTGACCAGAGACTCCGTGTCCCTCAAGTCTGTGACTTTGCTACCTGGTGTCTTCTTCTCCGTGTTCTGGAATAGAGTAACCAAATGGCCACTTGTCTGAATGTAATCATCTCAAACTCTGTAGCTGTCTCAAGAGAAAACAAAACAAAACAAAACAAAACAGCACAGACCGAAAGCCATCGGGGCCGACAGCTGGACCTCTGATGCTGGGTTCGGGGGACCCTTCACTGTCCCAGAGCAGGAGCTGGCCTGCAGCCCGCACACCTGGCCGGCTTCATGAGGGGCTTGCCAAACACTATCAGGGCGGTGCGTAGGTCGGGGCCCGGGGAATCTGTCATTATTGCTGTCACCCAAAACCTATCAGAGTCCTGGTGGCTTGTGACCAGGGCCCTTGTTTTAACCACAGCTTCCTACAGAGCTGATGACCAGTGAGGGCTCCCAGGTCAGCACACAACAGGGATACACTTAGCTCACTGCCTACCGATACCCTACTGCCAAGCCAGGCCTGACACAGGCTGCTGTTGTGGTTGGGAGTCCACCGAGATTGGCAGGAATCATGCTGGGCTGAACCTCTGCCACCAACCATGTGACCAGAGTGCCCATCATGCTTTGGAGTCTGTTGCCCAAGAGTTGGCATTTACTTATGTGTATTTAAATGTTCAAATGCTAGACTCAGAGACAGCAAAGAGTCAGCCCCATGTGGGTCAAAACAGTGACACAAGCCCGTGTGGGCCCGAGGACACAGAAGAGACCCCTGGAGCCACAGACACGCCAGTGGCCTTGGGTCTCCAGAGAAAACACACAGTTCTCTTCCCAAAGTGAAGGCTAGCCGGAGGCCCAGCTCGCCACAGGTCCAGCTGATATGAGAATGTAATCAGCCAGCCATTCTCAGGACACTTTGGGAGTAGTGGCCCATGGGCATTGTCCAGAGCAGGGCACAATGGGCAACTTGCCTTATGTAATGCTGGTCCGGGTCCAAATGAAAACCAGACACTTCTAGAAGGTAATTTGATGAAGTCAGTCCACAAGGGGAGGGAAATGCACCTAGAACATTTCTGTGCTCAGAGTTGGGAAGGGAACTATCGGGCTCTGGAGCTTCTGCTCTCGGGGTCTCAGCAGAGACCTTCAAAGTGCACGATTTCCACATATCCCAGCTGCCCCCACCACACACCAAGGACGTGGCTGGGCAACAGGAAGTAAATAAAGAGCTTGCTGACTAGTGATGTGGTCATGTAGCTTGTGAGAGAAGGCAGGGCCTGGGCAGCCAGAAGTGACGGGCTGGCGTGGCAGGGTGGCTCTTGGTTTCTGAATCGGCACCGATGGCTGAGGCCACGGTCAACAGTGGGTAAGGCCAAATGGTCATCCTAACAGAGAGTACTAGGGTGTGACTCGGGGTAGAGCGCTGGCCTAGCATGCATGAGGCCCTGGGTTCCATCTGCACTACGTATGCAATTGAGGGAGGGCGGAAACAGGAACCAGCCAGTCTCTGTGGCATTGAGTCGGCTCGAATGGTAAAATGGACAATATTTGTATTGTAAGAATTTGTAATTCTTGCATTTTTCTGGACTCGGGCTCAGCACCTGGAGTTCACCCCCCTGCCACTTCTGGAAAGCCAAGTCCCCTCTCCCAGTCTCAGTTGGTTTCCTGAAAGACGGGACCTGTCACAGAAATGAACAGGTGCTGGGCAGGCATAGGATCCCTCTGCATAGCAAAGCCACAGATGCCTGAGAGGCAGGGGCAGTGGCCCGTGTCCCCTTCTAAGAGGGCGCAGTGGTGGCAGCCAGGTGCCTTGGGGGCAGCCCGACTGTAGGGTGTTGGCACACATGCCTGATGCCAGCCAACAGCCACACGGAGCTGCTGCACCAGGAAAGGAAGAGCGGGGCTTTCCCAGATGTTTTTCACCTTCCGCCACGTGCACCGCCAGCTAAGCATTCACTGAGGCTGTTTCTGTGTGTCGCTAGGACCGCTCGCTGGAGGTGAGAAAGGGGAGCAAGCCAGGGCCTGCTACGGAAGGAATCCCCACTTTCTGCTCTTTCCAGCTCTTCATGCCTCTCCAGCCAAGACCACACCAGTTACTTGAGCAGCTCAAGGTCGCCATCAGGTCCTCAGACCCTCACCATTCCTGTGCATCACCTCTCCTGGGCTGTGCATGTTCTTTGGTGACAACTGGGTGCTTGGTTGCATGCAGCCGAGGCAGGTCTTCGGCGCCCACCACCACCCCCACGCCACAGCAGCTGCCTTCTCTGTTCTGGGGAGGGATGCAGACCCATCTATAGTTCAGACTTTACGGCTGTTGGGGTTTGAACAGCCGGGGTTGAGGGTCACTGTTCCGCATAGCAAGGCAAGTCAGCAGTGAGTAGGTCTGAACTGTGTTCCGTGTGACGCTGGGCGGGCCACCTGACCCTGGTCTCTGCCACAGCCAGTTTGCAATGATTGACAGCAGAATCCCGGGCACTGAGTTTTGTTTGTTTGTGTGTTTGCTGTGCTGGGATGGATCCGGGGTCTTGAACAATACAAACACCCTACCACTGAGTCCCGCAATAAACTGTAGCACCCCACCATCAGTCCGTGAGTTTCGGATCTGGCAAATCTGAACTTGAAGGTTGGACTCCTGACCCAGCCCTGACCAACCAGCCTCCTGAAGTCCTATCCTGTTGGTTCAGGTTTGGGCACAACGCTGGGACCAGGAAAGAGAAAGCAACGGCTAAGGAAGCGCATGAACCACAGGAGGCTAGCTGGCCCCACCTGTGGAGTCCACCTGCATCCGGAGGCAACTCTGCCTGGAGCCAAACCTGCCTGTTGAGTGTTTGGTTCCATGCACAAAGAAGCTGCTCCGATTCTGAGCCTAGTTTGAGCTGTGCTCTCGGTCCTGTGCCACCAAGAAGTCCCAGCCCACTCCGTCTCGCCCACGGGACGGGTCTCTCGCTTGCATTGTTAGCTTAGCCTGACTTTTCCATCAGGCAGCGATGTAGGATGGGAGGGCCTGTGCAGGGAGGGGCACACATGCACGTTGATGCAGAGAGGCGAGGGGCCAATGCTTTCCCAAGGATCCCCAATGCACCACAGGCACCACTGCCGGCAGCCTTCCCCGACATTTACCTCCCCGGCCGGCCGATGGCCGCTAACCAGCTGTGAACATGGGAACAGGACAGAATGAGGCCACGTACGTTAGAGCTGCTGACAGATGGCGGCGGACACGCTCGAGCAGATTGCAGGGCTCCGGTGGTGGCAGGAGGTGCACTGGACGGATCACTTCCTGCCACCTTCCCAGGTGGCTTCTGGTCACCTCCCCTCTGCCTTCCTCCCTGACCCCACTCCCCACGTGAGCCAACCCCAAGTTCATGGCGAGAGTGAGGGTTCAGGGGGTTCGGGTTGGCACTGCTGGGGATGGAACCCGGAGCTGCCGCACGCGGGGCAGACTGCTGCTGAGATTATACCCCATCCATAAGATCCTAGTCAGTCACTCTGCCCTCAGCCACCTCCTGTCTACTAGTGGATTCTAGGCGGGTGCTCTGCTGCTCAGCCACGCCCCTAGCCCCTCACTGGGGGATTCTAGAGAGATGTTCTACCATGAGCCACGCCCACAGCCCCTCACTGGGGGATTCTAGGCAGGTGCTCTGCCGCTCAGCCACGCCCCTAGCCCCTCACTGGGGGATTCTAGAGAGACGTTCTACCATGAGCCACGTGCCCCAACCCCTCACTGGGGTATTCTAGGCGGGTGCTCTGCCACTGAGCCACACCACCAGAGGGCAAACACATGAAAAAATAATAAGGGATGGATGGAGCTCAGTGGTAGAAGCTAGCGTGAGGCCCCCTCCAGGTTCCACGGCAGCAGCCGTGCTGGGGACACCCACCCTTTGTCACTGCTTCTCAGCAAAGATTGCGTAGGTCCCCGTGATTTACACTGTAGTCACCCCGAGGCAGCTCGGGGTGTGAGGACAGCTACAGCACAGGGACTCTAGTGTCCAGATCTGGGTGTGCTGCCGGAGCCCGTGCACTGCACATCTCCTAAGGTGTGGGCGTGCTGAGGCCCCAAACAGCTGATGTCCCGGACCCTCCCAGAAGGCCTTTTCCTGGGGCTCTGGGAGGACTAACATCCTGAGGACAAAGACACTGAGCAAGCTGAGTGGAGGTGGAGGTGGAGGGACCCGGGACACAGCAGCCGCTCACTGTCCCTGGTAATAGGTGCTATAATGGGAGCCCGGACGCTGAAGCTGGCATCAGTTTGGCAGCTGGGGAGGGAGGTCAATGTGGTGCTGCCAGCAGCCTCCACGTCCCGTCCCCCCCCCCCCCCCCGCCAGAGCCCTGAGCCATTGCTGTGGCATGCCGGGCCCAGCTGTAGGGAGGTAGGACAGAGAGGGACCGGCCACTCGGCAATTCCGAAGCAGGCCCTGGGCTCCTGCCAGGGTTCACAGACACCCGGGAAGAACACAAGGCAGTTGTCCCCTTGCAGAGAGGCCTGGGGGCAGGTGCCACCCTCCTGCCACTGTCCTTGCGGAAGCCAGCAGTTAGGGCTGGGAGCAGGTGTGTGTGCTGGGTGGAAGGTGGATGCGGGCTGAGCACCCCAGCACTCCCCTGCACTGCTGTTTACATCTCCAGATCGTGGGTACCTGTCACCCATCAAGTAGACTCGCTCCCTTGTCTACCGCCAGGTCCGCCTTGTCCACCTTCTGGGCGACAGGCTGCATGCCCTTCCCAGGGACAGCCACAGCCTTCTAGAAGCGCCCACCACCACCACCCTCCCTGCTTCCTACCCGCTTGGGAGTGGTGACCTTCCAGCCAAGGACAGGCATGCTGTCATCATGCTCAGAGGCTCCTGTGAGGAGCTGGCACTTCGGCAACCTCGCCAGGCCCGCCCCTCCCACAAGCCACCTAGCCCCACGGCACACTCGGGTCCAGTTTGCAGACACACGGATGTAGTAGAATCCTGCAGTGGCTGTAACGAATGACTGTAAACTTGCCGGCTTACGTGTCCAGAATTCCCCTTCGCAGCTCTGGAGGGCAGGAGTCCATCCAGGCCCCTTCACGGGCTCTCAAGCAGGTCCACTCGCTGCTTCTTGGCACCCAGTGACCACGGGCCTCCCCCTCAGG